AAAACTAAAAAAAAAAAAAAAATGGATTTTAAAGGGAAGCCCAAATAAAAGAGTAAAAGCTTTCATCATGGCCTTTCTTGAGGACTGCAGATACAAAAACAGTGCACGGTCGGCTCATATTCGGGGTCTCTAAGACATACAAGAAGAAATTGAGGGCTCTATAGATTAAAAAATATAAATTGCCTCAGGATTCATACAGCTGTCAGGAACAAACCCCGCAGTATGTCTCATACATTTACTTCCTATCATCATCATCATCATCAGGTCCATCTAGTGGCTACTACTTTTCAATATTTTTTATATTATTTTTTGCCCTGACCAAGGGCGGACTGACAACTCATGGGGCCCCGGGCAATAGGGGATCATGGGGCCCCTGTGTCCTTGCCCAAACTCAAAAAATCCTATAAAAAAAAAAAAGGTACCAGGGGCATCTCATGGGGCCCCCTACTGATCCCGGGCCCTCGGGCAGTGCCCGAGTTTCCAAATGGTCAGTCCGCCCCTGGCCCTGACTTTCACTTTAAGGCACCCTGAAATGATATAGGATATCTTTAACTGAGAAGCCGAAAAAAAGAATGGAATGTATCCGGGTGTCAGCTCACTTCCAAAAGAATAAGTAATATTTTGGTGCCACATCCTAATTAAATAGTAGTCAAACATTCTTTGGGTTGAATCCTAGTATATACTAATTTGTGTCTCTTTTTTCTACTGGTTGATTTTAGACACTGAGGTTTTGGACTGTCAGCCATTTTTTGCACCCCCATATCTGGCGTTCTGATTGGCCCCTTGCCTTGTGAAAATACAGAGGAGGCCTACCCCCTATACATGGTGGGTTTTGCAAATGCATGGTGCATATTGATATCATATGTAAGTCATATTATGTTAATGTTTGATCTTGCTTTTTTTCTTGTATTCACATGTTGTAATTTGATATATTCAATTTATTTATATTTCTTTTAGATTTTAGTACTAAGCCCCTGAAGAAGCGATCATTTTCACGAAACATGTTGGGCCATTTTCCTGCGGTTTAAGGTCTCTCACCCCCCCTATAGGATCCATTTGGTGGTCTTTACATCCCTAATCATTAATGTGTTCCTTGTACTTGGTGGGCTGTGGGACATTGTCTGTGCGGACAGTATAACTATGATCTTTTAAACTGCAAGATGTTTTTTCATGACTTATTGTCATAATAAAGTACAAATGATTTTCTGTGCTTTTAACCTCTTCACGCCGGCCGCACACAAATGCGTGGCCTCCCAGCGTCTGGGCCTAGACACCGAGCGGCCGCACATTTGCGTTCTATTAAAAAAGGCCATATGGGTGCCGAGAGCGCGCGCTCCCAGCACAAGTCCGGTACTCACGGAAAGGTCCCGATCTACTCTTTCAATCGGGACCTTTCCCGATCATGTGACCGCCGTGACAGCGTGTCATGGCGGTCACATGACCCTAAACCCTGCCCTGCCCCCGGCTTCTGGAACCCTTAAAGGGCCAGGAGGCGCCGGCATGAAGGGGTTAAAGTCCATTTGCAACCTTTCCCCCCCGTTTCTTTCCCTTCAATTTTTGACTATACCTGAGAAGCCACCTTAGCATGCCTTTAACATTCTTTAGGATGCCTTACGTGAGCCTGCAGCTTCACAAATCAGAGCTTGTGTGGCTTACTTGGTTCAATTTCAGCTGTTCAGAAGAGATGCTAACTGCAATTCCTATAGACTACCTCTAGAGAGAGAAACTGCAAATATGTAACAGACCTTTGAACAGTATTGAGGACACCATGGGGCTCGCAAGCCTGATACCTGGCCCTATTGCAGACAAAAAAAGACCATATGCTGACTTTAAATAAATATAATTTATTGGCTCTTCCAGTTCAAATCACACTCTCAAACATATAGAAACATAAAAAGATTACTTCAAGCTTTGTCTGCAAAGTAGCACCGCTTTGTACAGGAGAGCAGTACTTGTCACAAGGCTTCACTAGCCTTGGGCAATGAACAAACGTTTAAAGAGACTGTCACTTCGCCCATTTAGTTCCAGCCAAACCCATTTGCATTGTGCTCCTCCATCATTCTCCACTGGGCCCGGGGTCCATCCCCCACATCAGCTCCACCTCGAAGGGTGTCAGAGCTTACGCAGCATTGGTGACGTCATCTTTCTACTCAGGAGATTGTGTTTGGGACTAGGTCTGGGCAACCCTGGGAGGAGGATATGCTCCTCCATACCATCAAGGTATTTCATAAAGGGTTCCAACAGAACAGCGGGAGTGTGCAGCAAAAGTGAGTATAGGTTGCTCGGGGGTGGGCTTTGGAGCGGAGTTGTCAGTTGTGCAGGCTTTGAAGCTGCACAAGGGCCCTTTGTGACTTAGGAACACATATGTACTATATGTGGGTTGGACATAGACCTGGGTGTGGCTCACTTCTAGGGCAAGTTGAGATATTCGTCACAATGCCCCAACCATTCTCTTGGATTTTAATATTCTAAGGGGCATTTCCTTCAAATTAAAGGGACATGATGAATACTTCTCCCTTTGGACTGTACATGAAGGGGATCTTCAGAGAGTGACCTCAGGTCAGATATACCATCAAGTTCAAGGTATATCCAAATGGTTCCAACAGAACAGTGGGGGAGCAGCAAAGGTGAGTGTAGGTTGCTCGAGAGTGAGCAGCAAAGGTGAGTATAGGTTGCTCAGGAGTGAGCTTTGGGGGCAGAGTTGCCATTTGTACAGGCTTTGAAGCTTCACAAGGGCCCTTTAGTACTTAGGGACCCAAATGTACTATATGTGGGGTGGACATAGACCTGGATGTTGCTCACTTCTAGGGCAAGTTGAGATATCCTTCACAATGCCCCAACCTGTTCCCTTGGATTGTAATATTCTAAGGGGCAGGGAGCATTCCCTTCCATTACCGACACCAGGACAAGCTGAATGTGTCTCCCTTTGGACTGTGCATGAAGGGGGTCTTCAGAATTTGATCATGATCAATGAGAAAGCTCAGGTTATTGTGAAGACTATCTCTTATCCATTTACCCATCAAAGTTAACTTGTGCTTGGGTAGTGATTATCAAGGTGACCAAAAGTTGTTCACACATAGGGGCCCGGTGGTGACTATGTCCACCACTGCTTTGGGGCTTTTTAAAGAATTAGTGACAGAATTGTAAAACACATCTTAGTTCACTTACATGCGGCTTTATTAGCTGATAAACAGATCGGCACAATCGGTGCCACATCACCCGGAAGAGCTGAAAGCTTGAAGCCACATGAGAATGCACACTTGCAATGAGCTGGAATACATTTTTGAGGGATTTCAAGTTCCCAGCTCTGCTAGGAGGCATAGTGACATCACCTGTACCCCCTGGAAGTGTTGGAGGTCAAGCCGAGGTAAACGTTTTTTTTTTTTTTGGAGAGATCTGTATTTTGAAGCCATTTGTGTTGGGTGGGTGTGAAGGGGCTTACGAAAAAAGGGGACCTTCCAATTGGCCTTGAAGATGCAATCTAAGAATCCAGTTGGGTATACTGATTTACAGGAAGGAAAGAACTAAAGTTGAAAGCCATGTGTGCAGTCATCTAAAGAGCAAGGAGGCGGAGCAGTGACACAAAGCTCTCCTTGGAAGCCCCTTAGCACAACCCAGTAGGTTGTATCACCAAATTTTTGATGGCTAAAACAATTCCTATGTAAGTATTTCATTTCTGTTATTTTCATACACCAGATGTGAGAACTTAGCTAAGCAAACTTCAAATACTGGATCCGTCTCCTTCATTGAGTCCACCACTTCTATATATTAACAAGCTCCTGAAACCCTAATGAAGGGAGGGAGGGCCCCTGAAACGCATGGGTTTGTCTATTTCAACTCATAGAGGGAAATGAAATATGTTTTGGACTCTACACATTTGGTTTGGTGCTCCTTTTCTTCGGAATATACCATGGTTATATGGATACAGTCACAATTTTGCATCACCCGATTTGTAAACATTGTAAACTGGGCCAACCTGTAAATCCTGATATATACGGCTCCTACTGTCCCATATCAAGCTGTATTAGATCTGGGGCAATCTGGCTTCCATCCAATCCGGTATGTTTGTCCCCGCTGCACTGTTCAATTCCTTGAGTAGATTCACGGCTAGAGAGTTGCCTAATGTACCTGATACCTCTTTGTGAAGGGCCAGCATAAGAGGTATACCAGAAGACGACACCCAAATGTCAGTTTTGGGTGGACTGACCCTCGAAGTGTCCTTGCAGGAGCAAAGTACCAACGTTATATTTTTTAAAATGCACTGAAGTATGTTTTGCATAGAGAATGTTATTTGTTCAGTAGCTTTACACAATAGATTTCACTTCAGTTTTGATCTGTTCGATCTGCCAGACTTGAGATGACTTGAAGGGATGGTTTAGAGAGGTCCTCACACTGCCCAGCTGCTGGTAAGTTTTGTAGACCCGACAAATCTAATCTAAAACATTATCCAATGTATGTATAGCCAAAACATTGTATGTTCTGGATAAAGAAGATGATGCTTAGAGCCCTTGTTGGGTTTTTACTGCCATCCGGGGTTTGCTGCTGCCAACAGTTTTACCGGAGAGGAAGTGATGGGAGAAATCTACAAAATGGGACAACAAAAGAAATACAAATGTGGAAAACAGAAGTGTGGGGTGCTGGATTTCTTGGGGATCATTTACAGTTTGGAGGGGGCAGCGAAACCCTCAACTGCTCCCCTTTTAGCTGCAGAAGCAGCAGCCAGAGGTATATACGTACTTCGTCCCCGATGCAGGGGTCTCGTTTTCACTTGAGGTTCTAGCCCTTCGCCATTCTATCCACAACTAGAAATAAAATCGATTTGGTGGGCAGTTCCTTAACAGTGCAATCTTGACTTTCCATCAACCAGTGTGTCAGACTGTAAAACACTCCTATAATGGGATTCTAGTTGCTAAAATTCAGTTTCTAGTCCCCATGTCAAGTGGCTTGATATGTGTTATTGCTGAGACTGGTGTCCTGGTTATCAAGACGGGGGTCCTGGGTCAGCTGGGGGTCGGACAGCTGTGTTCGGATCCGTCTTGCGGAGAGGTACTCAGTTCTGTTGGACTGTCCACGATGTTTGGTTCGCTGCTGAACTGTCGCTGGGGGAAGTTGGGTGGAAGGAGCAGACATTGGTCTGAGAGCTCAGTGTCCTCCGATCGGGGGGTGCATGATGGAGGCCATAGTCAAGAGTTGGATGTCTGTGTGAGCGTTGGCGACTGTGTGCCTCCGAATACTGCCGCATCTTTCCAGGTACGCCTCGCCCTCCTGTTCCGTCAGGGGGGACAATGAGCGTTCAACAGCAAGCGAGGTGCCAATGTGAGTGCTGTAGGACATGGGCTCCGACCTCATGTGACACTTGGGAAAGCGATGTTCTGAAGAAAAAAAAAAAAATAAGGCAACGCATAGAAATTATTTAAAAAGATTATTATCACAGTGAATAAAACCAACAAACTGTAGCTTAAGGCCAAACCCCATATTTTGAAAAATGCAGAAGTCCAAAGGGTGATGAAAAAAAAAAAAAAAACTTGCTCCAATACTTACCTCCTTTACAATGCTTTTCCCAAAGAAAGCACTTTCCACCCACCATGGTCCAACACTGCCCATCAAATGATGCCACATATGGACATCTGAACTGCAGTACCATTTTCTAACCTGTAGAGGGTCATGTTGCAGCACTGTGTTTTCTACTACTTTAGGATATTTAACCAATTCAATCCCGGGCAATTTACCCCCTTCCTGCCCAGGCCATTTTTCACATTTCAGCGCTCTCACACTTTGAATGACAATTGCGCGGTCATACAACATTGTACCCAAACTAAAATTTTATCATTTTCTTCACACAACTAGAGCAACAACTGTCACCAGTGCAGTACATCGTCATCATATAACTGGCATGGCGGTGAACAGGGACACTGACTGGTGACAGTATGAAAAAAAAATTATTTTTTTATTTATTTATTTTTTAATTATTTTAAATTTTTTATTACTTTTTTTATTTTTTTTAAGATTTATTTTTTATATTTTACTATGACCAAAGTAGTACAATGTTACCATAGTAACATTGTCCTACTTTGGGGAAGTGATCAGTTTTTTGTTTTACACAATTTGCTTATAGCAAAAAATTACTTTGCTATAAGCAAGCATTTACCTGAATGACATCGATTCATTCAGGTTTTTTTTTTTTTTGTGCTTAGCTGTGATTTGGCCACAGCTAATCACATGACATGTTCATGTGACCTGCTGTGACCATTCACAGCTAGGCACTAGTATACAATGGATGGCATGAATGAAGCCATCCATTGTATACAACTGTCATGTGACCTGCTGTGATTGGTCACAGCAGGTCACATGGTACCTGCAACAGGGGCCGGTACTCAGATCTGTCATTGGCCGTGTCCAAGGTACACGGCCGGTGACAGATCGCGCCGCTGCACGGCTCTGCAAACCGCGCAAACTGCGCATGTGCGGGAGGACGCCAAATGGCGTGCACCCGGAAAGCTGATGCATTTTTGTGGCCGCCGGGCGGCTAATGGTTAAAAACTAAAAAGAAAAAAAACCAAAAATTTAATCTATCAGTGGTCTCTAATCTGCGGCCCAGGAGTCGGATGTGGCCCTTTGGACAACATTTCTCCCAGTTATACGAGGAACTATTCTTCCCACCAACAATAGGTGTTTGTCATAATTACTACCACTGACACCAAAGAGGCAAGGAACTATTCCTCACACTGACACCAACAATGAAGCAGAATTACTGCCACTGACACCAACAATCGGGGATTATTCCATTCACTATTCCATCCACTGACTCCATTGATGGGCACTATTCCTCCCATAGACACCAACGATGGGGCACTATTCCTCCCATAGACACCAACGATGGGGCACTATTCCTCCCATAGACACCAATGATGGGGCACTATTCCTCCCATAGACACCAACGATGGGGCACTATTCCTCCCATAGACACCAACGATAGGGCACTATTCCTCCCATCAACACCAACGATTGGGTATTATTCCTCCTACTGACACCAACAATGAGGCATAATTCCTGCCACTGACACCAACAATTGGGGATTATTCCATCCACTGACTCCATTGATGGGCACTATTCCTCCCATAGACATCAACGATGGGGCACTATTCCTGCCACTGACACCAACAATGAGGCATAATTCCTACCACTGACACCAATGATAAGGTATAGTTTGCTCCCACACTAGAACATTTTCTATTCCCAATGGCCACAGTCCGGCTCCCCCAAATTCTGAAGGACAGTAAACTGGCCTTTTGTTTAGAAAGTTTGGAGACCCCTGTACTATTTTGCAGTTTAACAGACCTTAGATGTGGTGGCTGCATTCGTTTTCCTTTTTCAGGCAAAGACCCTTCTTAGCAAGTACAGAAAATACCTGTTGACCTTTCCAGAAATCCAATGTCCTTGTATCTCCCTGGAAGCTGAATTATTATATATAACAATGTTATCTTTCTTCTGTACGCTATGAATGCCCTTCCCTCATGTAATAGAGAGAAGGAGAGAGGAGGCCATGTTTGAGGTCAGGTCTGGGTGACAACCATGAATTCTCCCTCCATAGATACAGTGGAGTGAGCATTGTCCCCCTAGGATAGGAGCGTGTTACTGACAGGATCAGCAGGTGAAAATAAGAGGAACAATGAACGAATCAACTACTACAACCACAACATTCAAGAACTGGTAACCTAAATATATTAGATTTTTTTATTTTGGATGTGTAGATATATTCAAAAGCTATTGATATAAAAATACCCAAATCCCCATTTTTTTTTTTAGATGTGGAGTAGGGAACATGAATATTTACTTGTTTTAAACTTCTTCTTTTTTTTTTTACATTGGCTTCCTGGTTTCTCGCCTAGGCCAAGATGATGTCATACATCCCAGGAGTCTCCATGGACATTTTTTTCTTTTCATCTGGATGAGGGTCTTTCTCAGCTAAGCACACCCTCCTGCCTGCATGCCTGAGCTAAGGGCAGATGGATTCCAGGAAGTAAAAATTCTACAGGAATCATCTGCCCTTACTCAAGATGGCCGTAGCTAGAAATGCTAGGTGGACTGTCTTTCAAAGTGGTTTTTCAACAAAAAGCATGAAGACTTGAGTGGATGGGGGAGATAGTGTTGGATAATAAAAAGTAATTAAAAATAGAGTTTTTAGTGCTCAGATACTATTAGGTTCCCCTTTAACACAAAAGGGTCTATTTATTAAACACTGTGAGCTCTAACGCGCCGGGCCCTCTGTTTCCTCTTATACCAAATAGTATTGTAACTGTAATGTCTGCCTTCATATTGTAAAGCGCTGCGCAAACTGTTGGCGCTTTATAAATCCTGTATAATAATAATAAAGAAAAAAATTCTGTACGAATGTCTCAAGTGTTCGCACAGCCATCACAAATAATCACCGCAATGTGTAATAGATTTACTTACTAAAATCTTCAGCTCTATCTAGTGGCCGTAATGCAGTATTCTCCCTATTGAAGTATTTCAGGAAAATACTGCATTATGGTCACTAGATGGAGCTGATGATCACCAGAAATAAACACGATACACATAATATGGAGATTATTCAGGATGGCTGTGTGAATGCTTAAGACGTTCGCACAGCAAATAGTTTTTTTATATGTAAACGTATACTTAATTCCAGGACAGATAACAGGAGATATGTCAGCATAATACACTATGAAGAGTCAGTGAGGATGGACGTGGTCATGGAGGAGCAGCAGTGCACAGATGTAACTTTTGACCTAGAAAAAAAATGACCATATTATTACGTAAAGTGGTTGTAAGCCCTTCCATATACCCAGTGAAGTGATTGGCCTCAGGTGATACACAGTGATGAAACACATTCTCCTACATAAGTTTGTACCTGTTTATCTGTATCTTCTCTAAATCTGCTCAAAGTTCAGAATCTATAAACTTGTCTGAGAGTTCAGATAAAAGGGGGCGGAGAGCTGAAATTACACTGCGGATCTTAGTGAGGAGAGCTCCGAGAGCTGATTGGATGGAAGGGACACACCCTCCTTTGCACAGCAAACAGAAACAGAGCTGAGGCTTTGAATCTGCTGGAGGTCCCTCCCCGTCACCATTTTTCTCTTGGTGTCAGAAAAACTTGTCAGAAGTGATTTATGCTGATAGAGGAAGTAAGCAGCAGACAGAAATGACACTTCTGGATTGAGACAAGTACACAGGGATATGCTTTTGTTCATATTTGATGTCTAAGGTTTACAAACAGTTTTAAGTAGATGTAAACCCAACTGAACATTTACTGTACAGCTGCTTCTCTTGGCTCTGAGCACTTTCCTGAAACAAGCAATGGCAGGAGGAATGCAGAGGGACTGGCAGGGTGTTAGCTTCTGCATTCCTGTTGTCATTATTTGTCTCAAAAAACTGCTCAGAGCCAAAACAAGCTGCCATGATGAAGCGTCCATCTCCTTCCTAGCTGTTGTCGACTCAGCCATGGCAGGGGGGAGAGGGTGCAGGTTGAAACCTCATAGCTAGGGTTAGGAAGGTCCCTCCCGTCACCATTTTTTCTCTCGGTGTCAGGAAAACCTGTGCTATCATGCTGATAGCAGAGGAAACTAAGCAGAAGACAGAAATGACACTTAGTACTCTGGCTTGAGACATGTACATACTATAGAGGGATATTCTTTGTTCATGTTGAGGTTTACAGCCACCTTAATTTTCGGTACTCCTGCAACTACTCTAATACCCTGATAAAAAAAAAAAAAAAACTCTTCATCTCTTTTTTTTTTTCTTGCAGAACTACAAGCCTCAGCTATTTTATTAGGCTTTATCCAAGGAGACATTCTGGGATTTTTAATTTTTCTTTTTTTTTTTTTACAGCCACGGAAGACTGCATTAGGCATTCAGGCTTGAATTTCCGAGTGACTGGGTTGTAGTAGAAGCTCCTAGGGCAATATTTCTCCAGCGCTAAGACATCCTAATAGAGCAAAGGGGGGCTGTGAATGGAGACATCCTGATGGCTTTGCCTCAAAAACCTCCCTAATGGGCCCCCTTCCTACCTCCAGGCCCTATAGCCACCACGTGGTCTGCTATGGCTATAGTTACAGCACCGGTGAAGACAGATGGAAATCAAAAACCGGGCAGAGGTTGGAACCCTTCCTTACTCCATAACTAGAAAAAAAAAATAGCTGGTGTTCCCACTTCCAAAAATATAATTACAAAGAATATAATGGACAATAATTCCAGCCAATCAGCTTTCCTTATTCCAAGCTACTGCAAATCAGTTTGCTATGGGCAATAACAGAATTCTAGGCAAAGAAAAGACAGATTGCTGCTTTTATTTTATTAATACACATTTTTTTTTTTTTTTTTTAATTTCCTTCGGCGTTGGTTTTGCCATCATTAGGAAAAAGCTGAGAATTGCTGCGCATATCCATCGTCTGATAAAAATAACAAAATCAATTTCAGGAAGAAGGCGTTGGGGATGAAAGGAGCTGCTCGCCGGGAAACTTTTATACCATGGCGGTCTGACCTTTACAACCGCAGGAAAATGTAATGAGGACGTGTAGGATTACCGTATGTGGTCTGATCAAGGCGAAGATCTGTGCGTAGGTGGTAAAGCTCCAGGCAAACAGCCTGAAATACACACATGGGGTCTGCTTTACCTGCCCATGTATTCGGGTGCTTTCACACTGCTCAGTTGAAAAAAAATTAAAAATCGCGGTACAAACACAGGCATTTTTACAGCATTTTATGAACTCCTGACTCCAATCATGCAGCTGTGAAAATTGGACATGTGACTCAAACGCATTGCTTTTTTTTTGGTGCGAGTTCTATAGAAGTCAATGAGAGATGCGTTTTTTGGTATGCTCTTGAAAAGTACATCGAACATGCAGCATGCAGGCAGGGCCAGGACAAGGGGTAGCGGGGGGGGGGGGGGGGTGGCCTGAGCACTGTGGTATTATATATGATGTGGGGAGGCACCACCAGGAGAGGGGGGGGGATTTGTGTTGGGAGGGCGAGAAGAATCGTCCTAGGAGGGAAAATTTGGGGGGGGTGCTAGGAATGGTGATTTAAGGGGATTTGTGCTTGAAAGGGAGATTGGGAAAAGATTTGTGCTAGGAGGAGGGATTTGTGCTAGAAGAGGTGATATGGAAGTGGGGAGGGAAATTGTGCTAGGAGGGGAATTTTTTATTTTTTAGGGGGGGGGGATGGGCGACTCTGATTGGCTATCACTGTGGTCATTCATTGAGCAGCCCGCCCGTGTGTTCATCAAGGCTTGATCTAGGTCAGATCAAGGCGCCTGTACATCAAAGCTTGATCTAGGTCAGTGCCAGGGTTAGTAATAGGGTCAAGGTAAAAGGTCAAAAACCGAGGTAAGCAGGGGCGGACTGACCATTTGGAAACTCTGGGCACTGCCCGAGGGCCTGGGGTCAGTAGGGGGCCCCATGAGATGCCCCTGTCTACTTTTTTCATAGGCTTTTTTTTTGAGTTTGGGCAAGGACACAGGGGCCCCATGATCCCCTATTGCCCGGGGGCCCCATGAGTTGTCAGTCTGCCCCTGGAGGTAAGGGTCAAAGGTCAGGGTCAGTAACAAGTCAGCAAACAGTAATGACCCTTAGTGTGCTGGACTGAGACATGTACACACTATAGAGGGATCTGCTTTTGAGGAGGTCCGGCCGCAGTAAAGAGACAGAGTACGGTTGCAATAAAATTTGGAACCAGTATTGCAAACTACAAACACCCCAGCGGGAGAGCATCGCTTAGGGAAAAGATGGTTCATCGAAAAGAGATGCACCGACAGCATCTGTTTCAGAGGCTGAAGTACGACCTTGCCAGCCCAGTCCCAAAGGGGAAGGTTCTTTCCCTACTCTACCCACTTCACAAATGCATGCCAAAACCCAGGGGGCAGATGGCCACCATGGGTCACATGGATGGAGCGTAGCCAACCGGAATGCTGCTTCATGACCCTGGAGACCATAGGGAAACCAGTTTTCCATCTACTTCCTCTCCAGGCTTTGGTGCTGCTCGTTTGAGCGCCACCTACAGTGGAGCAAACAGACTGTACCTGCCTACATGCCTTGTTCATATTTCGTGTCTGAGGTTTACAGCCGCGTCAACGCATGGCAATGTGCGTCATAATGAGCATTAACACAGCAAAACAGTAAACGGTTCCTCGGTCCCATTTCATTGTATAAACAAAGCATTCAAAGGTATATTTCAGTCCGGGGTCCCAAAGTGAAGCTGTTGATGGGCTCCATGGGCTCTGGACTGTCAGGCAGCAATGTAAGAAATGTCATCGGAGGCTTCTGATGAGTTGGGACTTGCTGTGACACCGAAGGCTGAAAACACTGAAATGATAAACTTTTCAACCTGAAGTTTAGCCTGAGGGCTGAGAATCCAGAGCCGAGGAATGAGGATTCCAGGGAAGCGTCTTCGGAGACACGGATTTAACCGCAGGGCAGCTATACACAGAATAGTCACATGCCAGGCTTTTGTAGCAAGAATAGCCAAAAAAGGGAAGGTATAGGGAGTTTTGTACATACTGTTTCTTTATCATGGTCAGGGGTAACAAAAATATGCAATTTTAAGATTTCTTTTTTTTTTATTATTATTATTACATAGTTAGTCTGGCGTAAAAAAGACAAAAGTCCATCCAGTTCAACCATTAAAAAAAAAAAAAAAAAAATTATAATCCTATACCCACAGTTGATCCAGAGGAAGGCAAAAAAAAACAGCAAATCATGATCCAATTTGCTCCTGCTGGGAAAAATTCCTCCCTGATCCCCCGAGAAATTATTATTATTCTTGGGTAAATATATTATTTTCATATTAACCACATGCAGTTTCCTATCCAGCCAGCAGATGGAGTGCTAGTCTCCTTTTCACATATTCTGGGGCAGTGCTGGTTAACTTTCTTGCTATGAACCTGCAGCCCATCACATAACCGAAGGGTCACACTTACAAATATCCAGGTGATCATTTTTGCTGCAAAATGTGTACTACACAGATGGTGAGGAGGCAACACAATGCCTCCTCACTGCTTTCAAATGCACTCTGAAGAGCGATCCACTGCAAAATCACTCTTCAGGCTCTGTTTACACCCTGCAGATGCCACAGATTGCGCAAACTTTTTTGTGCATTTCTGCTCATTCCCAGGCTTCGTGTTTTAGGGCAGCCCAGTCATTTCAAAGACACGCCCCAGGCACAAGAGATGAACAAAAGACGCACCTGACTCATTTAAGAAATCGCACAGCACTGACCTGCGTTAGTCTGCGCATTGGCAAGATGCGTGGGAGTGAAAGAACAACTAATGGCACCACTGCATGTCTGCAAAAGGGCAGCACGTTTTTTGCGCCTTGCGGGAAAGCGCACAAATTTGGGTGTGTGCTCCAAAACCATAACAATAGTTCACTTTAAATCCTATGGGACTCTTCCCAACACTGCGCTGCAGGTGCAATGCGTTTTCAAAAAGTACTGCATGCTGCATCTTTGCTGCTCTTTTCAAAAGTGCACCAAAAAGTTTTTTGAAATCTCCCATTGATTTCTATAAAAAAAAAACAAAAAAAAAAAACACACCCACAGCGCATTTATGGTGTCACTTGACCAAGATTTGAAAAGCGTTTTAAAAATTTTTTTTTCAAAAGCGAACCAAAAACTCGCCATTGAAATGAATGAAAAATGCTTCAAAAACTCACAGCATTTGCATGTTTGATGCTTTTTTGTGATCCATGTATCACAGGTGCATCACTGGTGTCAGGCAACCAGAAAACGAACCGGAACTGCATACAAAACACACACCAGTTTTCGGTTGATGCATCTTGTTCACATTTTGCGTTTTTTTCTTGTGTTTTTGGGATGTGTTAATGTTGCTAAGGGGAGGTATCTGTTGCAGAAAGCCACATCAAAAACGCATGTCTACGTGAAGTCTATGGAGCCAAAAATGCACCATGATACATGTAAAAAAAAATTCCTTGCACCTTTCTAGAAAAAAATGCACCCATGCAAACTGCGAAGATGTGAATGTGACCTATAGGAACTAATGATAAATGGGCTGTAATGCGTTTCTGCAAATATGAAACTGCACTGCAAAATGCATAGGTATGAACCGAGCCTTAGCCCCCATGCACATGGGAGGTTTTGAGAACGCTGGTCACATTAGCTGTGTAAAGTCACGTTAAAAACGAGTTTTTCAGCTTTTTATCGTTTTTGCATTAGCGTTTAGAGGCGTTTTGCTGTGATTAGTGGCGTTTTTGTTTTTTAGCTTTTTTTTACCGGAAAAAAAAAAAAACTTGGGGGTCATAAAAAGTCCAAAAATGCCGGTTTGTGGCATTTTACATTAAAAACGTACGTTTTTCAGCTTTGTTTTAGCGTTTTTGCATTAGCGTTTAGAGGCGTTATGCTGCGATTAGTGGCGTTTTTGGTTTTTAGCTTTTTTTTTACCGAAAAAAAAATTGGGGGTCATAAAAAGGCCAAAAATGCCGGTTTGTGGCATTTTACCCCGTTTTGCCGCGTTTTTCAGAATTAGAGCGTTTTTACAGCTATAAAAACTCCTCTAGAAGCCCACTAGTCCTGGATTTTTTTCCAGCCAAAAATCATTGATTCCAGTCTGTGTGCATGGACACATAGGATAACACGCCGGGGATGGACACATAGGATAACACGCCGGGGATGGACACATAGGATAACACGCCGGGGATGGACACATAGGATAACACGCCGGGGATGGACACATAGGATAACACGCCGGGGATGGACACATAGGATAACACGCCGGGGATGGACACATAGGATAACACGCCGGGGATGGACACATAGGATAACACGCCGGGGATGGACACATAGGATAAACGCCGGGGATGGACACATAGGATAACACGCGGGGATGGACACATAGGATAACACGCCGGGGATGGACACATAGGATAACACGCCGGGGATGGACACATAGGATAACACGCCGGGGATGGACACATAGGATAACACGCCGGGGATGGACACATAGGATAACACGCCGGGGATGGACACATAGGATAACACGCCGGGAATGGACACATAGGATAACACGCCGGGAATGGACACATAGGATACACGGGGATGGACACATAGGAGAACGGGGATGGACACATAGGATAACACGCCGGGGATGGACACATAGGATAACACGCCGGGGATGGACACATAGGATAACATGCCGGGGATGGACACATAGGATAACATGCCGGGGATGGACACATAGGATAACATGCCGGGGGGATGGACAACACGGGGATGGATAGGACAACATGCCGGGGATGGACACGCAGGATAACATGCCGGGGATGGACAACAGGATAACACGCCGGGGATGGACACATAGGATAACACGGGGATGGACACATAGGATAACATGCCGGGGGATGGACACATAGGATAACATGCCGGGGATGGACACATAGGACAACATGCCGGGGATGGACACATAGGACACATGCCGGGGATGGACTCGCAGGATAACATGCCGGGGATGGACACACAGGATAACACGCCGGGGATGGACACATAGGACACAACATGCGGGGGGGATGGACACATAGGATAACATGCCAGGGATGGACACATGGGATAACATGGGGATGGACACATAGGATAACATGCCGGGGATGGACACATAGGATAACATGCGGGGATGGACACATAGGATAACATGCCGGGGATGGACACATGGGATAACATGCCGGGGATGGACACATAGGACAACATGCCGGGGATGGATAGGACAACATGCCGGGGATGGACACATAGGATAACATGCCGGGGATGGACACATAGGATAACAATGGACACATAGGATAACATGCTGGGGGGTTTACTTGCTGTAGAAAAAAACGTCAAAAGCCAAAAACAGCCGCTGTAAAAACGTCCCGTGTGCAGGAGGGCTAACAGAGGATCACTTTTTTTACCAAGTCCTGATTTGTCTGATTTATTAGCGATGCTCCACCCACTACCATCCACCTGTCCAATGAAAGAGCCCCTAATTGCCCGCTGTCTCAATGGACAGGAAGGGGCATTTGGCAAGGTTTCAGCATGAAGCCAGTGAAAGTCAGGTGTCAGGTCCTGGTAGCCTAGTGAAGCTGAATCAGAGAGGGGCACAGCTGAGATAATAGAGGTCATAAAGGCGTCTTGTGGTGTCTGATCTTCAGAGGGACATTAGAAATGGAGGCCGGAGTCACTTTAAGCCGCACATACCTCTGTACTGCGAATCAGATTATTGTAGCCGCAGGACACCTGTCCGTTCTCAGCGCCCACATGGTGGGAATTTGACAGGTTGGATTATTTATGTTCACTTAATGAACTCTGTCTGAGGACCTTCGTGTTTATGTTGGGCTATAATTGTTCATCTAAACCTTCAAGAAAGGAGTCTTTAGTCAAATATTAATTCTCTTAAACCAAACTGAACCAGATTAGCAATCCGGAGCTGGAAGGTAGAATTTAAAGGAGGGCTCCCAGGTTAAAACGTAAGAGCTCAACATCAAATATTAAAAAAAAAAAAAAAAAAAAAATAAAAAAAAAAAATAATTATATATATGCATGCCTAGGTGCTTGATTTTTATATACCTTATACATCAGTGGTTCATATAATGAACTCGGTGTAGAGTTATTCACCCTGAGGTCATCACAGAGGACAAGGGGGCACTCTTTACGTCTGGAGGAAAAGAAATGTAATCTCCAAACACAGAAAGGTTTCTTCACAGTAAGAGCTGTGAGAATGTGGAATAGACTCCCTCAAGAGTTGGTTCTGGCCAGCTCAGTGGATTCTTTCTTAGATACACAGAATATAACTGGATACTAAAATTTATAGGTAAAGTTCATCCAGGGAATATCCGATTGCCTCTCGGGGGATCAGGAAAGAATGTTTTCCCTTCAGGAGCAAATTGGATCGTGCTTTGCTGGGGTTTTTTTTACCTTCCCCTGGATCAACTGTGGGTGTAGGATTATAACTTTTTTTTTTTTTTTTTTTTTTTTTTTTTAATGCTTGAACTGGATGGACTTTTGTCTTTTTTCAGCCAGACTAACTATGTAACCTGTGGCCATGGAGGTGATTAGAACACCTGAATCCAATGATTTGGAGGGGTGTCCCAATACTTTTGGCAATGTAGTGTATGTGTACTATACAGGGGATGGCCCCTTCCTGTTCCAACATGACTGCACACCAGGGCACAAAGCAAGGTCCATAAAGACATGGATGAGCGAGTTTGGGGTGGAGGAACTTGACCGGCCTGCACAGAGTCCTGACCTCAACCCCATAGAACACCTTTGGGATGAATTAGAGCAAAGACTGCTAGCCAGGCCTCCTCCCCCAACATCAGTACCTGACCTCACAAATGTGCTTCTGGAAAAATGGTCAAACCTTCCCATAGACACCCTCCTAAACCTTGTGGACGGCCTTCCCAGAAGAGTTGGAGATGTTATATCTGCAAAGGGCGGGGCCAACTCAATATTGAACCCTACGGACCTGGAATGCCATTAAAGTTCATGTGCATGTAAAGGCAGGCCGACCAATACTTTTGGCAATATACATACGCACACACATATACACAGTTGTGTTCAAAATAATAGCAGTGTGTTGAAAAAAAGTGAAAAAGCGAAAAAAAGTGAAAAAGCAAAAAAAGCTCAAAATCCTTCTAATAGCTTTTATTTCCATCCATACAAATACATTGGGAACACGACACGTTCTATTCCAAATCAAAACATAAAGAAAAATAGATCAAAATTTGTGCTGTTCCTCTAAAAAAATGGAAGAAAAGTGAATATTAGACGGTTCAAAAAAATAGCAGTGTTTGTATTCTTCTTTACAAACTCAAACATTCACTAAACTGAAAAAATGTTTGAAGATTTTGCTTTCCTTTGAATGACTTAATGAATATTTGGTTGTAGTCGCACTGTTTCTGAGAACTGCTGTACATCTGTGTTGTATGGAGTCACCCAACTTCTGGCCCCTGTGATCAGGTATTCCAGCCCAGGATGATTGGACTACATTCCACAGTTCTCTATTTCTTGGTTTTGCCTCAGAAACTGCATTTTTGATGTCACCCCACAAGTTTTCTATTGGATTAAGATCCGGGGATTGGGCTGGTCACTCCATAAACGTCAATCTTGTTGGTCTGGAACCAAGATGTTGCACGTTTACTGGTGTGTTTGGGGTCGTTGTCTTGTTGGAACACCCATTTCAAGGGCATTTCCTCTTCAGCATGAGGCAGCATGACCTCTTCAAGTATTCTGATGGATTCAAACTGATCCATGATCCCTGGTATGCGATAAATAGGCCCAACACCGCAGTATGAGAAACATCCCCATATCATGATGCTTGCACCACCATGCTTCACTGTCTTCACAGCGTACTGTGGCTTGAATTCAGTGTTTGGGGGTCGTCTGACAAACTGTCTCCGGCCACTAGACCCAAAAAGAACAATCTTACTTTCATCAGTCCACAAAATGTTGCGCCATTTCTCTTTAGGCCAGTCAATGTGCTCTTTGGCAAATTGAAACCTCTTCAGCACGTCTTTTTTCCAACAGTGGGACTTTGCGGGGGCTTCTTGCAGATAGCTTGGCTTCACATAGGCGTCTTCTAATTGTAACAGTCCTCACAGGGAACGTCACACCTTCTTTCATCTTCCTGGAGCTGATTATTGGCTGAGTCCTTGCCATTTTGGCTATTCTTCTATCCATTTGAATGGTAGTTTTTCGCTTTCTTCCACGTCTTTCAGTTTTGGTTGCCATTTTAAAGCATTTGCGATAATTTTAGCTGAGCAGCCGATCATTTTCTGCACTTCTTTATATGTTTTCCCCTCTCCAATCAACTATTTAATCAAGGTACGCTGTTCTTCTGAACAATGTCTGGAACGACCCATTTTCCTCAGAATTTCAGAGAGAAATGCACTGTAACCAGCATGTACAACATTTGCTGCCTTCCTTCCTTAAATAAGGGCAATAATTGCCACCTGTTTTTCAAAGAATGAATGACCTCACTAATAGAACTCCACACTGCTATTATTTTGAACATGCCCCTTTCAATTAGTGATTCAATTACACAGAATCAGCAGCATGCATGTCATGACTGTTGGGTCTGTTGGATTTCTATTACTCTACTACACCTACTAGGAGATTATTTGCCATGTAGAAATATAATTTCTACCAAAAACAGTGATTGATCCGGTTAGTGATGTCTGACTGCTATTATTTTGAACACAACTGTGTGTATATATATATATATATATATATATATATATATATATATATATATATAAAAATAAAAGGACAGAGGGTTTTGGCCTGTTGCTCGTATAAATGAAAGAGATGTTTCTAGTACGTGGTGCACTGATAGACCACCATTGTCATGGACATTGGAAATATGACCCATACTGCAAAACAACCGTTTATAAGAGACTAGTACACTTTAAGATATCTTACAAAGGATTCCCGGAAGAAATGATTTTTGGCAAAAAAACAGTGTGATTCCTCCAGAGCTCTCATAAGAATGAAATCTAGCCCAGGGCCCTCGGCCTAGTTTTGGCACATGACGTCTGTTCATCCACAGCCACACTGACAACCACAGTAAACAAGCACATTAAATTCAAGGCAGCTGCATGATTAACTAGTGACAAAAAAAAAAAAAAAAAAAAAAAACTGAGGTCACAGCAGCGTTGGGTTCCCGCTTGTAGAGGGGGGGGGGGGGGCAAATTTTTGTCATTTGTTTGTAGAACGGATTTGTACTCTGAAATGTTCCCAGAATCCTCAGGGTTAAGACTTGAACACCTCGCCCACTCCACAGAGCAGCTGACTTGGGGCACTGAGTACATACCGATCAGCTGCAATCATCGGCACTGGCCAAGTGGAATCCACTGAGAAATGTCACTGTGGTTTGTGAAGTTGCCTGATTCTCTATAAACAGTTTGCTAATTCTTAGTCATCTGACCAATGTAACACTCCCTGCCTCATTTTTACCATGTTCTTCAAACCGGGACAATGAAAAGCAGAAGGAATGCCCAAAAACCTTTCGTTTGCCCAGTTGAAGAGCCAATGTTGGGTGGAAGCCAAGGCCACCACTACAACCATAGCTTACCCAGTATACAGGTGCTGGTGTGGCTGTAGCTTCTGTCTGCGTATGCCGTCAAGTACGGTGATACCACCATCTTCACCAGTTCCTCCAGCTTCAGGTAACCTTCACTGGGGCCCGACGGCTCATGGATACCCTGCAAAGAAGAAAAGGCTTCAGATAGCTGGCTAGACGTCAGCAATGCCTGTATTCAGTAGAATGAACTACTGTACATGTAAGCTGATCACTGAAATCTCATATGAGCTTGAACATGTAAATTTAATTTCAAAAGCTATTTTTCAAAATTCTCATGACTAGTGCACCAGAGATAGGTTCATCCAGACCCCACTACACCACCATTACCCTTCCATACCAATCCCCTTTACTTACTATACTTACAGAAAACATAACACCAATTTTGGAGTAAAATGGCCAACACGGCCTTTTATTAACAAATCAAGTTTAAACACATCAACCATTCCTTATAACAGAAACATAAAGAGTTGTTGTTGGTCTTTGAAGGCACCCCCAAAACGATCCGAAATGCACCTGCGGACAACCATATTCCACTGGGCCTCCAGCCGCAACCAACCAGCTCGGAGACAACCATACCGTCCGCAGTGCAGCACCACCACCTTCCAGTTAAACCTTGGTTAACTGGAATGTCCCCGGGCATCCCATACCAACGATGGCTCCCACACCATTATCTGTACCTCCAAGATAAGAACGGCCTCCAAAGACCAACCACTGCCCAGGAACCGAAATAACCCCCCCCCCCCGAGAGGAACACAATACTCACCAAACAGGGAGGGCGGGAGAGAAGCTCTCTCTCCTAAGTCCAGCTCCGACTGACGCCCCTCACCAGGACACCCCACCCTAAGGTGCAGAAGACCCCACCTACACTCTCCCTCTATCAACCAGATCCCCCAGCTATCCTTTACCAACCCCCTAATACTATCATTAACCCTTACACGTCTTCCTTCCCACTCTGGGCCTAGTCATGCCTGCCCTGCGCTAATTCTTTTCTTCTTTTTTCGCTGCGGGCATTTCTGAAGTGCAGTTTTTAATAAATAATACCCAGTGATCCTGCCACGAAGGTTCTTGTTCTAGGCACTCCCTGCTATGGGGTGGAAACGCTCTGCCCCATCTCCCAATTGTGTCCCCTTGTTTTCATCTACTCACACAGGCTTTTGATGGACACTACAAGTGTCCATTTTTTAAATGCATTTTTTTAAAGTCCAACTAAAGGAATTAAAAAAAAATAAAAAATTCACCCTTGCACTGGTGCTTCCAGCACTGGAGGGGTAAATGCTCATCAAGTCTAGGGGGTACAGTACAGGTAGGATTACTTCAAGTGGTTGGAAAACTTTACATATACCCATTTAAGTGACTACCCTCAGGTGATACACAAAGATTTAACACATTCTCCTACATAAGTTGAACCTGCAGCCCTCTCTGCTCTACAGCCAAAGTGCAGAATTTACACAGCTTGTCTGAAGTTATACTCTGCAGAGATCAGTGAGAGCTGATTAGAAAAAAAGAAGGAACATCCCCCCCCCCCCTGCACACAGGAACAGAGCTGAGGCTGCCAATCACATATTGTGTGCTGGAGCTCCCTTTCATGTCACCTTTTACATCTTGGTGTCAGCAGGGCTGATGCTAGACTATTTGGCGCCCTTGGCAAGACCAGCCATAACCTCTGACACTGGCCACACTCATAGGAGTGATGGGAACACATCTATCATCATATATTTGTTGCCTTCCTCTGGATCAGTTGTGGGTATAGGATTATAACTTTTTTTCTTTTTTTTTTTTTAATGGTTGAACTGGATGAACTTTTGTCTTTTTTTTCAGCCAGACTAACTATGTAACTATTTGTATATATAATCACTGCCTGTCTTATATCCATCAAATATCTGGAGTCCTAGAATACAATGATCTCCAAATACACAGCCCCTGAGTTCTCCACCAGGCCTGTCAGGGGCTAAAAGGAATGGCTTCAGCTACTGGGTATTGATGTGTGGTGGACAGTTGAGGCCTCCTTCTCCATGGCCATGTCCCAGATGCTGGGGGTGAGGAAAGCCAGGCATGTCGGGCAGCAGCAGCTTAGCGTCTGGTGACATCGGTTGCACACCAGGTGCCCAGCCTGGCACTGCAGGATGGGGGGGGCGGCACATAGTCGAAGCAGATGGGACACTCAAACAGAGATGTCAACACGCTATATTGTTGCTGGGGACATCAGCCCTGGAGATCCCCGCCGCCGGGGGGAGGGGGGGGAGCATGGTAGGACCAGAGGTGGCCTCCTTCTCCATGGCCATTTTCCAGATGCTGGGGGTGAAGGAAAGCCAGGCATTTCTGGCAGCAGCCCAGCTTCTGGCAACATTGGTTGCAGACCAGATGTCCAGCCTGGCACTGCAGGATGGGGGGGGCGGCACATAGTCGAAGCAGATGGGATGCTCAGAGATGTCAACTCGCTATGTTGTTGCTGGGACACCAGCCCGCAGATCACCGCCCAGCCCAATGGAGGTGGCAAGGATCATGCTGGGGCTAGGGTGTGCGGCGATGGGGGAGTTGGTGGTGGTGGCTTCTGTTTCCCGCCTGGTTTGTTAGGATCCAACAGAGGAAGGGTGGTTCATCACAGCTGGAGAGAACCATGGAAGTTTAGAGGGGGTGATTAGTAAACTCCTGGTTGGAGGGGGATGCAGGACAAGCAGCAGATCATGGCATATGGTAGATCCCTGGAACACACTACGGCCCTGCCCCCCCCCCCCCCCCCCCCATAGCACTGTCAGCACCGGAGACAGATATTGGTTAATTCCCAGGGGTGGACTGACCATTTGGAAACTTGGGCACTGCCCGAGGGCCCAGGGTCATAGGGGGCCCCACGAGATGCCCCTGGTACCTTTTTCATTGAGTTTGGGCAAGGACACAGGGCCCCATGATCCCCTATTGCCCGGGGGCCCCATGAGTTGTCAGTCCGCCCCTGGTTCATCCTACCTTCTGGAACATTGTCACACGTCATCGGGCAGGGCGATGCATGTCCTGTGTAAAGAAGGTATAGTCACAGTAGAGCAGAGGCTGAGGGCCAGGACCGGCGGCTGTGAATGCTCCCTAGGCAGCAGTCCGCCCTAGATGGCTGCCTAGTTCTCCTAGGGGTAGCACGGCCCTGGCTGTCAGGAAAAATTGGTCAAAAATGTTCTGGATCCACGGATTATGGCAAGTGTTCTGGCACCCCTAGGCGTAATGAGAATTTAAAGAAAATGTAGGCATTATATTTTTTTTTCAGTTCTTTTCCATATGGGACAAAGTATATGTAGTACTTTATCCTGTGTTGTTAGATGCTTCCTAACCCTAGTTATGAGGTCCAACCTGCACCCTCTCCCCCCCTGCCATGGCTGAGTCGACAACAGCTAGGAAGGAGACGGACGCTTCATCATAGCAGCTTGTTTTGGCTCTGAGCGCTTTTCTGAGACAAATAAGGACAAAAGGAATGCAGAAGCTAACACACTGCCTGTCCCTCTGCATTCCTCCTGCCATTGCTTTTCTTGGGAAAGTGCTCAGAGCCAAGACAAACAGCTGTACAGTAAATGCTCAGTTGGGTTTACATCTACTTTAAAGTGGTTGTAAACCTCAGACATGAAATATGAACAAAATCATATATAGTGTGTACATGTCTCGATCCAGAGCACTAAGTGTCATTTCTGTCTGCTGCTTACTTCCTCTGCTATCAACATAAATCACTTCTGACAAGTTTTCCTGACACCAAGAGAAAAATGGTGACAGGGGAGGAACCTCCATCAGATTGACTGCCTCAGCTCTGTTCCTGTGACCTGTATGGAGGGGGGCACGTCTCTTCCCTCCAATCAGCATTCAGAGCTCTCCTCAATGAGTTCTGCAGAGTGTAACTTCAGGCCCCCCCCTCCCCTTTTTTTTCAACGCTCAGACAAGATTTATACATTCTGGATTTTGAATGGATGTAGAGAAGAGAATACTAAAAGATAAACAGGTAAACTTATGCTGGATGATTTGTTTCATCTCTGTGTATCACCTGAGGCCAGTTACTTCACTGGGTATATGTAGGGGTTTACAACCACTTTACATCTAAGTTCCCCGGTCAAACTGGGTGCGACTTGGCATGCGATTTGCATGCCATACGACTTGCAAATCACATGACAAGTCGCACCCTATTGTCCAAAATTACAGTGGTCATATCGGTGCAGTTCCAGCTTGGTCGGAACCGCACCGATTTCTAAAGTGGTGCATGCATACCCAGGGGTGTCCCTAGGGTTAGTGTCACCCGGTGCGGTAACACTTGGTGACACCCCCTCCGACAATCTCCGTAGAATGGATCAAATCTGCGGATTGAGCATTATGCATCGGACTCCAATTCATTATGCTCAATCCGCAGATCCGATCCATCCTGCAGGGATCATCAGCTCTCTTTACAACGTACCTTTTTGTGGAGCGGGTCCGGTGTCACCCCGCATAAGTTGCATGCCGACGATCCCCACAGGATGGATGGGATCTGCGGATTGGGGAGCATAATGGATCTGACTCCGATCCATTATGCTCAATCCGCAGATCCGATACATCCTGTGGGGATCGTCGGCATGCAACCTATACGGGGGTGACACCGGACCCGCTCCACAAAAAGGTACGTTGCAAAGAAAGCTGACGATCCCCGCAGGATGGATCGGATCTGCGGATTGAGCATAATGAATTGGAGTCCGATCCATTATGCTCCCCAATCCGCAGATCCCATCCATCCTGCGGGGATCGGCAACCTATACGGGGCGACACCGGACCCGCTCCAGGAAAAGGTAAGTTGTAAAGAAAGCCGACAATCCCCGCAGAATGGATCGGATCCATCCTACGGGGATCGTCGGCTTGCTTTACAACTTACCTTTTCGTGGAGCGGGTCCGGTGTCACCCCGTGCGGTCGGTGTCACCCGGTGCGGGACGCACCCCCAGCACCTGCCTCGGGACGCCACTGTGCATACTTTTGGTGTGAGTTGCATAGACATCTGTGTCAGATATCTTGCAAATCGCACCTCAAATCATCCGACTTTGAAATCGTGCGACTTCACTGTAAGTTGCACAATGTCAAAGTCGGGATCGGCGTGTAAGAGATCCTCTGACAGAGGTCCTTGAAAAAAA